GTGTTTTCTACGCCTTAAAAAAAGAGTGTTTCATAAGAAGTAACTCAAAACTGAAAGCCTTTCTGTACAAAGCCCTTACCGCATCATGGAATGTTTGAGGAAAAAACCTCCTCTATGAAAGAGGCCTGAATGAGTTTAGCTCTCCAGTCTCCACTAGAGGGTGCCAGGGAGATCCGGATTTTTATCTCAGTCTTGATGCAATTCACACCTACTTGCTACTCCACCACCCTTCTTTCTCCTCTTTTTAATGACTTTGTCTTATCTCTTACTTTAGGAAATAAACTTGTTTCACAAAATCTTTTTTTAAATCAACATTAATAAAGAAGGCAAGGTGAAAGTGACTGGGAGGAAAACTACCCAAACCACAAGGAAAACCTCTGTTCCTTCTACTGTGCTTCAAGGGAGGAAGCAGCGAGGGGCCAGATAACTGGGATGGATAGACACTGCGTTAAGTGTCTCCCTGGAGCCCCCGCTAGTATTTATTTAATGTTCTCAAAGGGTGGAACCCAAGGTACCCAGTATCTAGCTAGCTAGCTAGCTATCATCTATATATAAATAGAGGTAATATGGAAATTAGGCGGGATGTCATAATGGTCACGACCAGCTCCGGAGGGGCTGGGCATGGTGGAGCCTGAGAGAACAATACGCAGGGGGGCAGGAGCAGAGACACAAACCTGTAGGGGGGCCAGTCCCCAGCAGCCCCATGGACGCGGTGCTGGGCTGCTGGGGCCAGGCCAAGGCAAGCCAGCCAGCAGTCCCATGGCAAAGAAGTCAAGCCAAGCTGCCCGGTAGTCCTGTGGCTAAGAGGCCCAGACGCCCAGCGGTCCCGCAGCGAAGAGGCCAAGCTGCCCGCGGTCCGGGGCGAAGAAGCCGCCCCACCGACCAGCCTGTTTGCACACGTGGCGTGGAGCCCGGGGTCTTCCCTGTAGCCACGGGAAGTCTTCCCCTCCCGGAGTTAGGAGTTAGGAGCACCAGCCCAAGTCTACCCATTGGCCTGGTCCTGACTGGGGGGGTAAGTTCCTGCAGGCTGGGGTTTGGTCCCCACGCATTAGCAGTAGGAGACCAGTGCCTTTGTCATTGCTGTGTGTCCGGGTTTTAATTGGACAAATGCCCGGCAGTCCCAGGAAAGAAGCTGCCTGGCCGTCTTGGGTGAAAAAGCCGCCCGAGGTCCTGGGCACCAGCTTAGCAAAATCTTTCAGGAGGAGAATTGTCTGGGTTTCCCCAAATTCCCTCTGTCCCTACCCACCCCACTGTAAAGGGGAAGAACAAGTGAGGCCCCTAAAATAAAAGTCAGAGGTCTCCAGCAATGGTGGGCCTCTCTCATCACAGTCACTTGGACTGAATGGCATTTGAGTATTTATCTAGGCACCATGACAGAGAATCACAAGCTGAAGTCATGATCTGCCCTTAATTAATTCACTATCCTATTAGAGCAAGTGGATGATAAAAGTTCAGCAATGACATCAGAATGTAAGGCAACAATACAGAGAGGAACAGAGGCAATTGCTAGGGTGGTTTTCCAACAGTTAGTACAAAGAGTATGTGCTGTGAATTAAATAAAAATAAAAATAAAATGTATGGAAGTAGTTGCTTCATGAGTATGGCATCCCTTCCATTTTAAAGGAAGCTGAGTTCCATGTGAACTACGTACTATGCTATGATATCTGAGGCACAGGACAAGGGAGGCGCTAAGTATACTATGCTTTGATATTTGAGTCATTCTTTATTGTTCAACTAGAGGCCCGGTGCAGAAAGATTCCTGCAAAAATAGGGCTTCCTGCGGGCTGAACGAAGCCAGTATAATCCAGAGGCTGCGGAGCGGCAAGGCTGGACCCCGCCCCCCGGCCTGGCTAACAGGCCAGACACCCCAGAGGCGGCTGAGCAGCAAGGCCCCTGGCCCAGCTGACAGGCCTGGACACTCCAGAGATGGGGCTGAGAGGACTGGGCACTGTCATCTTTGTTATGGGGTGATGGTTAATTTGCATATCACTTTTATTAGATATTATGTTATTTATTTCTATATGCCTCAGTTTTGTAATAAATTACTAGAATAATATATCTTGCTATAAAATATTATTAGATCAAATGACCAGGTGACATTTATTGTTATTTTCTATAAATGAACACAATCTCTGGTATGCTAAAGTGATAGGTGTTATAGAAATATTCAGAGAAACCAAGATGGCGGCCTAGGTAAGCACCTAAGCTGCCGCCTCACACAACAATTTCAAAACAACAGCTAAAGGACAGAATGGACATCATCCAAAACCACAAGAAAGCTGGCTGAGTGGAAACTCTAGAACTAGAAAGAAGGAGAGAGGCTCACAGATCAGGGGAGCCACAAAGTGCTGAGGTAGGGAGATGCGCGTGCAGAGAGGAAGGGCGGCCAAGTGCCTGGCTGGGGGGAGGGGAAAGGAAGCCCCCGACTGCATTAAACCCTAGTTCCAACTGCACTGAACCCCAACCCCGGCCAAAACCCCATGGACCCAGGCTCATACGGGTGGAGTCTGGACTGTAGAGAGACATCCGGAGAATCAGAGACTGAGAAACTCAGGGGAGCCGGGAGCCACAGCGGGCAGGGTCTAGAGTGGTGCAAGTGAGTGCGTGAAGACAGGTCTGACTGTGGAGGTTGCCGCAACCGCTCCATAGTGGAAGGAGTCGGAAGCTCCAGACGGCACAGAATCGCAGCTCCAACTGCACTGGGATTAAAAATATTATACAGAGACCCAACCAAATTCCGGGCAAGCCCCTGGGGCATTCTCACCCTTACAAGGGGAATCTGGACTGTCAGGCGGAAACTCAGGGGAGCCACGGAAGGCAGAGGTCTGAGGCACGCGCACAAGGGCAGGACTGACTGGAAGCCAAGACTGTTGCACTGAAACTCCGCCCCATCCAAGCTGAGCACAGAGGCATTTACAATTTTGCAAGTCTGATCCTATAAGACTATCTCCAATACAGAAGGTATCCTGGTGTAGACACAGCTGATACTCACATTCAACTGGCCTGAAGGTCAATTCCTCCCAGTGATACCAACAACAATCAGGACTTAACTACAACAAGGCTGTACACAAAGAACACAAAGGGGAGCACCAAGAGTGTCTACCTCAGGTAACTGGGGAGGGTGACCCACTGGGCCATATAGGAAACCTAGCACACAAAGCCACCCCACCTACTCAGGGAAGCAGAGAAAATGAGGAGACAAGGAAATAGATCTCAAACGAAAGAAATGGAGGAGAACAAAAGACTGGATATAGAGTTCAAAACCATGATTATAAGGTTTTTCAAGAATTTCCTAGAAAAGGCCGAAAAATTTAACGAGATCCTCGAGGATATGAAAAAGGACCAACTAGAAATTAAACATATACTGACGGAAATAATAAATATTATCAGAGACACAGAAGCAGGCTAGAGAAATGCAAGAATCAAGTTAAAGATTTGGAATACAAAGAGGCAAAGGACACTCCTCTGGAGAAGCAAGAAGAGAAGAGAATCTAGAAAGTTGAAGATAGTATAAGAAGCCTCTGGGATAACTTCAAGTGTACCAACATCAGAATTATAGGGGTGCCGAAGAAGAGAGAGTGCAAGATACTGAAAACCTATTTGAAGAAATGTCAGAAAACTTCCCCCACCTGGTAAAAGAAATAGACTCACAAGTCCAGGAAGCGCACAGAACCCCAAACAAAAGGAATCCAAAGAGGACCACACCAAGACACATCATAATTAAAATGCCAAGGGCAAAGAGAAAGAGAGAATCTTACAAAGCAGCAAGAAAAAAAGTTACCTATAAGGGAGCACCCATATGATTATCAGCTGATTTCTCAACAGAAACTATGCAAGCCAGACAGGAGTAGCAAGAAATTTCTCAACAGAAACTATGCAAGCCAGACAGGAGTAGCAAGAAATATTCCAAGTGTTGAATAGCAAGAATCTACAACCAAGATTACTCTACCCAGCAAAGCTATCATTCAGAATTGAAGGGCAGATGAAGAGCTTCACAGATAGGAAAAAGCTAAAGGAGTTCATCACCACCAAACCAGTATTATATGAAATGCTGAAAGGTACTCTTTAAGAAGAATAAGAAGAAGAAAAAAGATAAAAATTATGATCAACAAATACATATCTATCTACAAGTGAATGTAAAAGTCAAGTGAATTAAAAATCTGAGGAACAAAATAAACTGGTGAATATATTGGAATCAGGGGCAAAGAAAGGGAGTGGATTGATAATTATCAGGGGGGAAGGGTGTGGGAGTTGTAGGAAGAGACTGGATTAAAATTGTACATCTATGGATGAGGACAATGTGGGGGCAGGTAAAGGCAGATGGTGGGGTGGGAACCAGGTGGAAGGGAGCTATGGGGGAAAAAGGAGAAACATTTGTAATAATCTGAGCAATAAAGATTTATTAAATTAAAAAATATATGTTTTCAAACAGAGAGATCTACAGGCTGGATTACAAGTGAGACTTACTACAACAACCCAAATTTATTGCTTAAAAATAAAAGCAAGGAGCCAACTAGAAACTGAACCAAATATAAGCCCTTGAAGGGCAAATGTAAATTGGATAAGCTTCGCTATTACATGAGCAACAAGAAAAAATTCAGACGCAAGAATGAGAAGCACACTGCATCCACTCTAAGTAGCTGTTAAAGAAAAAGAATGGTATACTATGAAAATACTTAATACAGACTGTAAAGAGATTTGTTCAAAGAGGATTTCCTAGAGTAGTTGGTATTTCAGTTAATTTTTTTAAATGTGAAGAGGTTAGCTAGATAAGAAAAAGGTGTAGGGGTCCCGAATTGCAGAGGGTGCAGGCCGGGCTGAGGGAGCCCCCGGGCACTGGGCCTCCAACATATATATATATATATATATATATATATATATATATATATATATATATACATACATATTCCCTTTCCTGTGGCTGTCTTCTTTTATTGCCAAGTTCTTGGGGCTATCAGAGTCACATTTTACTTTGAACTGAGTAAGATAAAGGCAAGAAAGAAGAGGAAGAATGAGTTATCTTGTCTTTAGAAGAAGATATATACCTCTTGTCAGAAACTAGATAAGCAGGTGTAATGCCAAATAAATCGTTACTGAAATTTCAAGCATTATTTGCCATCCAAGCTAATTAGGAAGTCCAAGATAGGAAATATTTAAACAAACAAGGCCCAAACTAAAGTAAAAACTGGGAAATCTGGAAAAATCAACTCTTAATTCACTTTAAACACTTTGCAATGAAAACATAATAAAACCTTAACTTATACAGTGTTCTTTCTTTAACAATGGGCTTCCCTCGGAATTTTGATGAGTAGTCCATGATAAAATGACTGTTCCATACACACAGTCTGTTTATCCTCAAATTATAGCTGTATGACAGCATAATGTAAACACCCTTACCAAACAGTCAAATAGTAGTAACTAATATTTTCTTCATTTGACCCTCAATTTCCATAGATGTTATTATCCCCATTTCCAGAATGGGACATAAACTTTGCTGAAAATCAAAGAACAAATTACTAACATAACCTAAGACAGAACCCAAGTTGTTTGAAACACCTTCCATCAACCCAGACCTTGCCACCTTCATAGCCAACACATCACACCACCGTGAGTTTAGATATTAATACTTTGTAACAATTCCTTACAAAGGTCAAGTCTTCAAAGGCTTAAAATCACTTATTATAAGTGAAAGATCCTGCCAAAATAGGAAATTATAAAGCAGTGCAATATTCCAGGGCTCTACTTCCTGTACAGTTGGTACCTAGGGTTGAAAAGCCCAGGTCTCCACCTGTGAGAGTTCTTCAGCTGACAAGAAGCAAAAGCCCCAAGGTCAGGAACGACAATGCCCCCTAGAGGCTCTTCCACGGTTCCAGTGAGCTTCTTCAGGGCGGTCCGTACTCTCAGCTATGAGCTGCGATGCTCCAGGTGCTACTCTTCCCTGAAGAAACAGCACCAGTTCCTGATCTTCTTGCAAGTTTTCTTTAACAAAAAACATGCATTTCATGTTATATTTGATGTCAAAGGGCACTTTGATGGTAAGAACTAGTGTCTGAATGTTGCAGTTCATGCCAGTAAACGTTCGATGCAGAGTGGCTGATGCCAACACACAGCAGTTGGAACTAACCCAGTCTTCATCTGTTGCTCACACCTCAGAATCCGTGATGAGCCAAGCAGTGGGAAGCAGTGGGAAACACAGGAAGCTTTACTGTTTTGGAAGTTAGCGTTTTCAGAGGGATGTCTCATGCAGCCTTGACTTGTCATAAATCCAATTTCTTCAGCTGCTCATATGTCACAAAGAACTACAATTATTGGTTAAGGTTCTCAAAGAAAATGCCATCCGAACCCCCAAAACATAAAAACAGACCTTCAAATAGCAAACCTACAAACAAATATATCTGAAAAGACACATGCTATGAACATGGTTAAATACGAGGGCTCCACCCTAATCATTCCGAAAGACCTACACATTAGCCTTCCCAAGGTCAGCTTGGAACAGAAAGATCATAGCTGAGATACACAAATCCCTTAGCATTGGCTCCGAGAGCTTCTTCTGCCTCGCTTTGATGAGTTTACTGAGGCGGGAAGACTCAGAAAGAGAAACACAGCAAACCCTGGGAGCTCTCCCCAAGGATCTTTGCTAGGCAGGCCCCCAAAAGGGGAGAGGCACAGATAAAGAGAAACAAGAGGATGGTGCCATTCCCACCTTATAATTCTGCCCTTTCATGTCTAATGAACTGTCACTTCTTTCCTACCCCCACTTTGGCATACAGGAAATAGTATTGATAGACCAAATAATTCTAGAGCTAATAACTATTTTTCCTTAGGTACTCTCTAAAATAAATATGCTAGAACACTGCAACCAAACCACTTCCTTCCTAAAAATAAAATCAACCCGGCCTCTCTCTGAAATCTAAAATACTCTAAGCTTTTAGAATAAAGTCTAAATAAAAATTTTTATTAACGTCATTACCTTTCAATAATACCATCATTAAACCAAGATTCACAGTGCCTAGCACAGATATTTTAGACCTCATGAAAAAGAAACTGAACAGCCCAGCTGGTGTTGCTCAGTGGTTGAGAGCCAACCTATGAATCAGGAGGTCATGGTTCATTTCTTGGTCAAGGGCACATGCCTGGGTTTTGGGCTTGATTCCCAGTAGGGGTTATGCAGGAGGCAGCCAATCAATGATCCTCTCTCATCATTGTTTCTATCCCTCTTTCCCTCTCCCTTCTTCTCTCTGAGATCAATAAAAACATATTTTTAAAAGAACTAAACAGTTACATCTTGAATCAGAGGAGCATAAAAGACTAAAAACCAACTTCTAAATTATAATAACATGATAGTTTATACAAACAATATTTTTAACTATCTTTTTTCACTTCTACTACAACAGAAAAGGATACAATGATATTCCAAGGACCAAGTCTCAACCAATTTGGCCAAAACCCTTTATATAGAGCAAAAAATCCTTCTTTCTTCCATGTCTGTTGTAAGGGGGAGAAAAAGTTAATTTGCAACTTTCCAGTTATGTCAAATGAAATAACAATAGTATCCCGACTAACAGATGTATTTTCCTTAAAAATAAAACCCTGTTTGGAAGGACTAAGAAATCATTGTCCTCTGCCTCTTTTTGGATTTAAAGGCTTCTGCAGAGGTGACGACTAAGGCTCCACACCCAAAGCAGGCAAACATGAACAAGAAATGAGATTTAATAATTCCAACCAGAGTCTTTTGCCTCTTTTCCCTTTGGGCCCACAAACTCAGACATAAGGAAACAAAGCCATGATGGTAAAGACATAATTCAGAGCACCACTATTTCATGTTGTTGGATGAATTATAAATAAGTATCTTTGCTTTGGTAAAGCAATACTTAAAGGTCTAGCATCTAATATGAACAATAAAAATTTACTTAAAAAAAAAAAAAAAGGTCTAGCATCATGCTGGAAAATGAAAACCAAAAAAGTGCCCCCTAATCTTTGGCTGCTGGCAATCCATTAAGGGAGACACTGGCAAACTTTTGTACACTCGTAAGCAATAGGCCCGATTATTTAAACTAAGTATTATGGTAAGATTGATGTTGCTCCTTTGTGAGATGGCTGAATGAAGGGAACTCATTACAGTTTGACTCAACAGGAAGGATAAATTTGCTCATTTCACAATACTATCCCTTATTATTATTATTAATTATACTAATAAGACTTACCAAATTATTTCAGGCATTATGCTGTTTTATGCAGGCATTATTTTTACAATAATCCTATGATATACATGCTATTATTGTCCCATTTCACTGATGAGGAAACTGAAGTATAGAGTCTTTATCTTGACCAAAGTCACACAATTACAAGTGACAGATCCACAGGTCTATCTTACTATAAACCCCGTGTTTTAAAATTATAAGAAACTCGTGATAAGTGGATCATATGGAAGTTAATGAGCTAAAAGAGGAATTGCCAACCCTACAGAGATAAGACATTCTCACCTGTAACAAGCAATCCAGGGTACCTGTGTACCCAGAGCATCTGCCATCACGAAGGACTCTCTGATTCATCATACGTGTCCTCACAACATCCACAGGGTTGGAGGCCAGAGCCCCAGCCAGACCACAGGTGAAGCTTGAGCTAGGAAAGATACCATTAGAAAAACAAAAAGGTTACCACCACCGCATCAAAGACAGGAAGCGGCCTCCTCCCAAGCTGTGTTAAAGTAACAGTAACAATGTGAAGCGTATCAAACATAAGGACCCTATCTAGAAAGCTGTATAAACTTCTTAAACACCAGCACTGATTATACTAGCTTATAAATTCCAACTTTGGCTAAGAATATACTGGAGGTTGTGGAATGTCAAAGAATTATAGAAACATGAAGGGACATTCTCCAAGGATGATCTATTACAGTGATTTTATTTTATTTTTATTTTTTTAAATATGTTTTATTGATTTTTTACAGAGAGGAAGAGAGAGGGATAGGGAGTTAGAAACATCGATGAGAGAGAATCATGGATCAGCTGCCTCTTGCACCACCCCTACTGGGGATGTGCCCGCAACCAAGGTATATGCCCTTGCCCGGAATCGAACCCGGGACTTTTCAGTCCGCAGGCCAATGCTCTATCCACTGAGCCAAACCCGTCTCAGCTATTACAGTGATTTTTAACTTTATTCATCTCATGGCAAACATAAGCTAATTACTAAAATTCTGTGGCACATCAAAAACTTTTTTTTTTTTTTTGCTGATCTGACAAAAAATAAGTATAATTTTGATTCACTCACATTGACAGCTAATGTTGTGCTGGCTGTTGTCATTTTTTTTATTTGACAATCTAATAGGAAAGAAGTCAGTAACCCTGACCAAATAGTCATAGTTATTACATGTTTTAAAAATTCTGTGGCACACCCATTGAAAATTGCTGATCTATTGCATCTATTCACCTAAAAGTAGAAATCAGAGTAACTTTAGTCATCTCATAACCATATTTTTCTTCAAGATCAGAGAAAAATATTTCCTCAATGGCTTGTCCACTAGGGGCTCAGGTTCTACTAAACTTTCAGTCTCACAAGACCACCACAGACCACACTTAGTGTCACTTAACTCAGAGCAGCACTTCTCAACTTCAGCACTAAGATTTTGAACCAATAATTCTTTGTTTGTAGGTCTGTTCTGTTGTAAGATGTTCAGAAGCTCCTTGGCCTCTACCCAGTAGATGCCAATAGTACTCCCCAAGTCATAACTTTAGAAACAGTCTCTAGCCAAATGTCCCCAATGGGCTAAATCGCTCCTCAGTGGATTAAACTATGATATATCCAATACTAATCTGCAGCTATTAAAAATAAATGAAGTCTGTTTGTACTGCTACGGAAAGATATTTGGAATATATTATTATATTTTAAAAAGCAAATGAGAAAGCCCTGGCCAGTCGGTTGGAGCATTGTCCCACACACCAAAAGGTTGTCGGCTCAATTCCCAGGCAGGGCACACACCCAGATTTCAGGTTAGTTCCTTGGTTGGGGAGAGTACAAGAGGCAATCAATCGATTCTTTAACATCTATGTTTCTCTAAAAAATATATACATATATTATATAAACATCCTCAGGTAAGGATTAAAAAGCAAGTAAGAAACAAATATGGCATAGTAGTACTTGTACATGGAGTCTAAAAACAAAGAAACAAACAAACAAACAAAACTACTCTAATTTGCCCAGCTGGCATGGCTCAGCGGTTGAGCATTGATCTATGAACCAGGAGATCATGGTTCAATTCTGATCAAGGCACATGCCTGGTTTGCAGGTCTGGTCCCCAGTAGAGGGCGTGCAGGAGGCAGCCGATCAATGATTCTCTTTCATCATTGATGTTTCTCTCTCTCTCCCTTTCTCTCTGAAATCAATAAAAATATATTTTTTTAAAAACTACTATAACTCATAGAAACAAAGAGCACAAAATAGTTGCCAGTGGCTAGGGGATGGGGAAAATAGGGAGACAGTAAAAGGGTACAAATTTTCAGTTATAAGATAATAAGGTCTGAGGAGCTAGCATATAACATGGTGACTATAGTTGATAATACTGCATTTTATAATGGAAATCTGCTAAGAGAGTAGAACTTAAATGTTTTCACACACACACAAAAGGATAAACATGTGAGGTGTCAGGTATGTTAATTAAGTTGCAGGGGAAAATCCTTTAACAATGTATACATATTAAATCATCATGTTGTACACTTTAAATATCTTTTCAATTTTACCTGTCAATTGTATCTTAATAGGTGAAAAATAAAAATAATAAAAAGTAAAGAAAGGAATACAAAGCATGATATTTGTATAATAAAGTACATGTAATATACTTTTGTAGTCATATTTGCATATGCATAGAAAACACCTGGAAGGTACTTGTCAAACTGTTAACAATTCCTATCTATTTAAAGGGATAAGTGTTAATTTTTCCTGCTTCACTTCTGTATTGTAATTTTTCAAATATGAGGATATATTTTTATAATAGCTTTAAAATTTCTATAAATTTGTAGCAAATTTTCACCCTAAACTCATGTATACCTAAAATATTTAAATAGCCATAAACATACAGGAAGTGAGTGTACACAGTGTCTCCCATCAGGCCCGACAGAATCAGATGCTTCTTGGTGATGTCATAGACTGGTAGCTCCACACCAACAACGATAGCAGCCCTCTGAGCAGTAAGAGACACGCCCTGAGTAAAAACATTAATAATAGGGATTCAGACATTTCTCCTGGTGGGAGGGAGAAATATACAGAGTAGAAAAGACCAGAGTGTAAAAAGTCAGGGGCTCTAACGTTGAATTCTGATTTTGTCACTAACTGTATGACCTTGGACAGACCTTGGCCAGGACAGGAACCTCTCAGAACCTTCAGTTTCCTTATACATACAGAGAGGAGAGTACTGGTGACCTTAGGGTCTATTCTATTAACTGGCAAGCCATTAGAATATTTAGGAAAGCACTAGAGCCTTGGCCGGTTTGGCTCAGTGGATTGAGCATCGATCTGCAGACTGAAGGGTTGGGTCCCAGGTTCAATTCCGATCAGGGGCACATGCCCAGGTTGTAGGCTCAGTCCCCAGTGGGAGGCATGCAGGAGGCCGATCAATAGTTCTCTCTCATCATTGATGTTTCTATTTCTCTCCCTTTCCCTTGCTCTCTGAAATCAATGAAAGTATATATTTTTTTAAAAAGCACTAGTTAACAATATTCACTTAAAAGGCATGAAACCACATAAGTTAAAAAATTCAACATAACTGGGACCCAGAAACATAAGAACTTTTAAAAAAGTAAACAAAAAGGTGCTCAACCTTCACAGAATTTCTTACATATGAATTATTCAAAAGGTGCTTTTCAAATGATGACATATTTCTTATATTTCCATTTTACAGATAAAATATCTCAGGGGCAGTTCTTCCCTTACTCCACTATTCCATTTGGATTAAATAAAATGATGGACATAGGAAAAATATATTCAAAAAGGGCAAAAGTGAAGAACTAAATCAGCTGAATCAATTTAAGCTTACCTTCCATAGTCCTCTCGTTCCCTCTTGCTGGTAAATGTTAATAAAGTTGCCTATCATTCCTCCTTGAATGGTGTTGTTTTGTGCTTGCATCCGTATCTAGAAATTATTTTGAAGACTAACATGAGAAAGAAGCTAGCACATTTCTCCCCAAATACAGATCCCTGAAAAATTATTCAATCTGTTGTTTAGTAACCATTACAAGAAAAAAACTATAATTAAACTATTACTATAATGCTGGCTTAAATATCCTCAGGAAACTAAAATACATATGGATTAGTTCTTGGGCACTTTGGATTCAACAAAAAGCATCTAACAGAGTCTAGAACGTCTTGCATATAATAGCACACTAAGTTTCAAAAAGAAATTAATTTTTAAAACAGTCTTTGAAAAGGAAAGAAAATGGCATTTTTCCCTATAGGTTATAAATAGGAAAGAGAGAATATGATGGTAATTCTAAAAATTTAACATTAGTAGTAAGAGTACCCAGTTATACCTGGCAGCACTAAGCATGAACAAGCATATTTCTTTAGTCACTCCAACTCCCTGCTATTTCCAATCAGCTGAATCAAAAGATAAGCCGGCGAGTTAGCCCCATGAGAGCCACATGATGTCCACCATACATGGTTACACCTGAACTTACAAATTAACTTTACAAGGGCCATTGTACTCACATGACTAATATTCCAACATAACAGTTAGAGGTACTATATTTGCTCCCTCTCCCTCTTTGCATTTTTAAGAATTAAAAGGTATTTCTCACTAAAAAAAAAAAAAAAAAAAAAAAAAAAAAAAAAAAAAAAAAAAAAAAAAAAAAAAAAAATTTGTACCTTATTTTGGTTTAGGGAGCAAATATATTACCTCTAACTTCTTAAAAGGAACTGTTATTGCTATGCTAACATGTGAAAATAAACCAAAATACAGGAACTGCCTTTTTTTAACCCTGATATATGGTTTAGAGATTAAAGGAAGTATGGAAATTTTTCTCCAGCAATCTCGCACCAACACTGGGTAAAATTATGGTCAGAGTGCCTGCACACATTGTACCTTCACCATGCACAGAACCAGTGTCCTCAACATGCTGCTGCATAGTTTTTATGCTTGTCAGAATCTCCTATCACAGTGGTCGGCAAACTCATTAGTCAACAGAGCCAAATGTCAACAGTACAATGATTGAAATTTCTTTTGAGAGCCGAAAACAGATTTCTGCGCATGGGCCACGAAGTTTCAATCGCACTGTATGTGTGCGCCCGCACGTGGTATTTTATGGAAGAGCCACACTCAAGGAGCCAAAGAGCCACGTGTGACTCATGAGCCATAGTTTGCTGACCACTATCCTATCAGACTGAAGGCTCTCTCAGGGAAAGGGTTTTTTTGTCTTACTCATTTCTGGATTCTAAACACTAAAATTACTCCATCTGATCCACGGTAGAAGCATAGTGAATTCTGGTTAAATAATATGGGGGAAAAGGAAATGGAGGAAGAAAGAGGAGTATATAAGAGGGTTTAAAAAGTAACTCACAACTAATTTTTATTTTCTTTAATGAATTTATTCCCTTGCCTTATTCCAAATAGGATTTAAGAAGGTTGTCATAATCCCTAGGATTGTCAACAAGGTCATCTGTTGTGTCTAATTGTGGTTTAAGTAAATATTTCCATTAGTATTTCCTGAAATTGAATTAACCTAACAATACATTTAGAAATGGTTATTAATAAGCAGACTTCTGAAAATTTGAAGCCCATGTACTTTTTAATGAACCAATAAAACAAAGGAGATTCTCAATGAAAAATTCAAATGAATCCAAACCTAAATTTTTTTTCTGCTTAATCTTCAAAATACTCATCTCTAAAATGGGCTCTACTTTCATATCAATGGGAAAACTACCTAGTCTTCACAATACTTAAATACATTAGTCTTCACAATACTTAAATTATAAACAGTCATACATACACAGAGTGTATGTTATATTCACAGATTTTCATTATCTGAATCTTGTTCTCAGTAAGAAAATGTAGATTGTATCTATAGATAGAGAGAGCACTGCTTACTTTCAAAACATCAGTTGGATTGGCAATGGCTGAGGACATGACTCCAGAGAGAATTCCACAGACCACATTTATCAGAAGGGTTTCATCTGCAAACAAAGACATTACATGACTTTCATATATACAGAGCTCTTCATGTGAACACCTCACATACAGGTGTAACTCATTTACATACCATTTGTTCCTTAAGAGAATAAAGAAATTTAGACCTTACGAATCAAGTAATTTCAAAAGGATTAGGAATTTTGCTGGCTCAAGAGATTTTACTTAGCAAAGTTTCTTGCAATCTGAAAAGGAATGTGAATTATCTCCAAAAGTAAATTATCATCTACCAATTCACTTTTGTGTGTAAATGCAGATCATAATAGTAAATGAGGTATGTCTGGTAGGGAGAACAAAAGAGGAACACTCCTATGAGATAATGTGGTGACAAAGTTTTAAAGTACATCTTATACATTTATTTATTTTTCCCCCCAACCCAAATTTTATTTTTTTTAATTTTTTAAAAATTTCTTTGATTAAGGTATCACATCTTATATACCGTACTTAACGTAAAATATAATGAAGCACTTTCAAGGCATCTTAGCTCCTGTTCACTACTCTCATGTAACAGCTAGCTGGAGCTTGCTCCTTTGTAAAAACAGATAAGGTTCTATGGATTAAAGCAGTCACAGAGTCAACCAGCAATGGAGTATTAGAACTCAGTTCTTAATACTAAGAAATGTATTCATTGCTTTTATGAAATACAGATGATAATTCCTATGATTTTAGGAAATTTTGCATTGGTTAGAACTGTGGTTGGCAAACTGCGGCTCGCGAGACACATGCAGTTCTTTGGCCCCTTGAGTGTGGCTCTTCCACAAAATACCACGGCCTGGGCAAGTCTATTTTGAATAAGTGGCATTAGAAGTTTAAGTTTAAAAAATTTGGCTCTCGAAATCTCAATCGTTGTACTGTTGCTATTTGGCTCTGTTGACTAATGAGTTTGCCATCCACTGGGCTAGAACAATAACATATTCTCTAGTCTAAGCATTTTCTCCTTTTAACTGAAATTTTCTCCTAAATTCAGCTAATTACTGACTTGCTGTAAGCACAATTCATTTAGACTTCACACCCAGAGCTCTCCTCGGCAGCAAAGTCAAGTGAATCACAGAAAATCTGATATAAAATTACTTGAATAAAAAGACAACCTACCTCCTGCCTACAAGTGGAAAAGACCTGCCACTGACCTTCAGGGCGCTCCACAAACAATCGCTTCAAGCTCTGGTAGGTGCCTATTTTGATGGTGCCATAGGAAGCCTGGCGTAACATCGCAGGGGCAATCCTGTCAAACCAAGTATAAAGGGACAAAAAAATTCTAAAAATCACAATCTTCTACAAGACCCACAGGCAGAGATACCATCAATCACCCATTTGCCTTCTACAAACTACACAAAACAGATGTCTTAAAATTAAAAATCCAACAAAAACTTGTTTTTAAAATTGTTTTCTATTGATTTCAGAGAGAAAAAGAAAGAGGGAAAGATAGAAACATCAATGATGAGAGAAAATTATTGACTGGCTGCCTCCTACATGCCCCCATTCTAGAATCAAGCCCCCAACCCAGGCCTGTGCCCTGACCAGGAATCGAACCATGACCTCCTGGTTCATGAGTCAACATTCAACCACTGAGCCACACTAGCTGGGCAACATGGTTTTAAAAAGTATATACCGTGTTTCCCCGAAAATAAGACATCCTCTGAAATTAAGACCTAGTGCATGGAAAGATAAGACATCCCCTGAAAATAAGACCTAGCGCAACTTTGGGAGAAAAAATTAATATAAGACATGTCTTATTTTCGGGGAAACAGGGTAGGTATAATCCAAAAAGGTTATAAACACCTGAGCAAATTATTAGCTCACTAAGTGAAAACTCAGCCCCTCATATTTATTCTCAATGAGACTGTAAGTGAATATGTGGTTCTGTTTGCCCATTCATGTTAAAATGAAAAGAGGCCTTGCTTTCTCAGTCCAGTGCACCTAATGAAGTCTGGCCTCTGGAAGCATCTATCGTTCTTGCACTGACACTCTGGAGCTCACCTCCTGCCTCCTTGGGAGGCCTGTTTCAGCCTTTTCCTCTCCCTCCACTTCCCTCCCTGACTCCAGAACCACCTGTGCATTGATATTCCCAGCACTTTCCCAGATATTTCCACTTCCTTCTCCAACTGCAATTTGGCTTCCTTCCACCTTCTCCATCAAAACAGGTGGCCAACTGACATCTGTGTTGCTAAATTAAATAAATGATGCTTTTCAATCAGCATCTTACATAACTTCTTGCAGTATTTGCTACTCCGTCCTCTGTCTTTCCTGCAGCTGTCTCCTCCTTGAGTTGCCACATCGCCCTCTCCCATTTCTTTTCTTTCCTGTGCACTGTATACAGCATCCTACCTCTGTCCTCTGAGGTTTCCCCGAATCTGTCCTATGCTTTCATTTCCCCTTGCTCCACGCACTGCCTGGGTGAGCTCAGCTATTGCCATGCTTTAACTGACCACTCCTAAATTCATGTTTCCAACATGGATCCAAAGATACATTTACAACTTCTTCCTAATTTGTCAACCCTAACCTACCTCCATAATTTGGTAACCCACACTGCACTCATTATCTTCCCTGTCTAAACGATCACCTCTCCTCTTCTGTACCCTAGAACAATGGCCAAACCAGAAATCAAGATATTAGCTTTGACTCCTCCTCCTCCAAACCCCCTCATTATTATGTCAAACAATATGTCAATCCTATGCCCCAACTAGCTTTCTAAACTGTCTTCTTTACTCCATCCCGAAAACCACCACCCCAGGTCAGATCCTTTTTGTCTCGACTTCCTCCGTGACTGCCTGCTGCCAGTGTTACTATTCTCTAATTCTCCCTCCCCACGGCAAGCAGGCATTTCTTTTAACAATGAAACTTAATCACCGCAGTCCCTCTACTCAGACCCTTCAGTGCTCCTCTCTGCCACAAGTGTAGAAAATTCAAGTACTGCCCTAGCTGCTTTGGCTCAGTGGACAGAGTGTCAGCCTGTGGACTGAAGGTTCCCAGGTTAGATTCCAGTCAAGGGTACATGCTCGGATTGTGAGCTCTAACCCCAGCAGGAGACAGCCGATCAATCATTCTCATCATTGATGTTTCTATCTCTCCCTCTCCCTTCCTCTCTGAAATCAATAAAAATTTAAAAAAAAAAAAAAGAAAGAAAAAGAAAAAAACCTAACATGCTACTTGCTATTTATTTATTTATTTTTCCTCTCCTTTCCTACCCCACCCCCTCCTCCCCTCCCCTCCCTTTCCACTCCTCCCTTCCTCTCTCCTCCCCTCCCTTCCTTCCCCTCCTCTTCTCTTCTCTTCTCTTTTCATCTCTTCTGTGTGGGATGGTTGATCTTGAGCCTGCAGGGAGCAAGCTGGCTCCAGACTTCTTCAAGTCCACAGTTCTTTGCCTCCAATTCTTAAGTGTCCAAAGACAGGGAACCACAGACACGCCTTTGTATGAGGGTTGTTACTTGTTTTTTAAAAATAAATCTCAAACTTTTGCTTTTTCTCTATGAGGTCTTAGTCTGAAAGATTTTCATTTGAAAGGTCAACAAAAATATATACAAAGGTCACTTACCCAGAATACAAAGCTTTCAGGCCTTCTTCTCTGCCTATCCTCACTAATGCATGCAACATTCCTCGATATCGAATTTCTTTAAAGTTCGCATCATTCGTCTGGCCTTGAATCTGGAGCCGTGTCTTAGTTAAATCAATTGGAAATGTACCTTAAAAATTTAAAGAAATACTTTCACTTAATGAAAAGAAAGTACACTAAGTAAGGGATACATAGTGACATATTACTAAAGAGACATTTAGACTATAATGTAAACTAAGAAACAATCTTTTATTTTCTATTAAAAAATGGGGGAAAAATATATATTTTTAAAATATATATTTTATTGATTTTTTACAGAGAGGAAGGGAGAGATAGTTAGAAACACTGATGAGAGAGAGTCATCGATCAGCTGCCTCCTACACACCCCCTACTGGGGATGTGCCCGCAACCAAGGTACATTGCCCTTGACCGGAATCGAACCCGGGACCTTTCAGTCCATAGGCCGACGCTCTATCCACTGAGCCAAACCCGTTTTGGCCAAAAAGATTTTTTTAAAGGCATAGGTGTATTTTCCTTTTTTAACATTTTTATTTATGTTCTATCTTATTCTACATAGGATTTAAGGAAACCACATTGCTAAAAAAGTAGACAGATGGAATTATTTAGATAATCAAAAAATCCATGTTTAAATATACAACTCATTTTGGCTGTCTGGCTGGCTCAGTTGGTTGAGCACCCTTCTGTACACTAAAAAAGCTGCAGGGTTTGATTCCAAGTGAGGGCATATACCTAGGTTTCAGGTTCAATCCCCAGTTGAGATGCAACCAATTGATGTTTCTTTCTGTTTCTCTGTTTCCCTATCTCAAATTAATTTTTAAAAAATAGTGTATGTGTGTGTTTATATACACACACAATTGGATACAACCAATTGATGTTTCTTTTTGTTTCTGTTTCCCTCTCTCAAATCAATTTTAAAAAAATAGAGAGTGTGTGTGTATGTGTACACATTATTTTTTTTATATATATACACACTAATAAAAGCCTAGGTGGTCTTCGTGCCCTTGCAATGTCATTACAAATTGGCCACCACAAGATGGCTGCATGCACAGTGGAGGCGGGGCCCGGTGACCGTTCTGTGCAGTGAGGCCTGGGGGTCCCGAGGCTCTGTGCGGCAGAGGAAGCCGGTCCAGGCGTCTCTGCCACCTCGCACGGAGGAGGTGGGTCCTAGCGGAGGAGGCAGATCATGGCCAGGAAGGGCAGTTGTGGGTGATCAGGCTGGCAGGGGAGGGTAGTTGGGGGCGATTGGGCCAGCAGAGGAGTAGTTGGGTGTCAATCAGACGGACAGGGGAGTGGTTAGGGGACAATCAGGCTGGCAGGCAGAAGTGGTTAAGGGCAATCAGGCAGGCAGGCAAGCAGTTAGGAGCCAGGGGTCCCGGATTGTGAGAGAGATGTCCGACTGCCGGTGTGATCAATGTCTTTCAATCTGCTCGATGATTTACAATATAACAGTTTAAGGTGTACGATTTTATAACACATCATCTGTATATTATATTGTGTGTAAACTGGCAGTCAGATATCCCCCAAGGGGTCCCAGATTGGAGAGGGTGCAGGCTGGGGTGCCCTCAACCCTGTGCACAAATTTCATGCACCAGACCATATATATATATTTGTGTGTGTGTGTGTGTGTGTGTGTTTTCATATCCATCCTGGGGTGAGGATTAAAATAATACAAATAAGGAAAATAAAACGAAAGTTATTTTTTATATATGTGAAGGCTAAAATTGGGATTATGAAGGAAGAGATAAATTCATTTTCAAAGCAGTTCTCACTCTATGTTCTATAGTCTAAAAGTAAGTCTGTTAGAGTAAAAAGTTTAATATAGTGCCTCACAGATAGTTCACCCAAACATGTGAAACTCAAACTCAGTAAATGTGATGTGTTATGTCAACAGGAGAGCCCACCCACACGAGCAGCTCAACCCCTGGCACTGCTCCTCACTGGGCCCTCAGGGGCAGCCTTCGTCCCAGAACAGCAGTGACTGAGCCCGGAAGCAAATGAAGTGTCCAGCCCAGCACCAGGCACTCGGCAGCTGCTCAATCAACATTTGTTGATTGAATGCTTACAGCTCTTTTTAAATTTGTCCGGCAAGTCTTTCGGCTTTTAACAGAAGGCCCCCCCCAAAAAAAAATTTTTGTTGATTGAATGATTCCAGGGAATAAACAGACCCTGATGTGGACCTCTACTAATGTGAACAAGTCACAAATAGGATCTGGATCATGTGCATATTCAGAAAGTGGTGGCATAATGACAGAAAATGGAATCTAGCTCAGGAAAGCCTTGAGCTCCTCAAACTCCTTTTTTTTTTAATTATTATTGATTTCAGGGAGAAAGGGAGAAAAGGAGGAAGAGTCCAGGGAGGGAAGTAGGGAGGGAGGGGTCAATGATGAGAGAGAATCACCAATCGGCTGCCTCCTAAAGACACCACATAGGGGATCAATCCTGCAACCTGGGCATGTGGCATGACCAGGAATCCAACTGTGATCTCCTGGTTCATAGGTCGACACTCAACCACTGAGCCACACCAGCCAGGCGCTCCTCAAACTTCCTTACAGCCAAATGTGTTAAGGGTGGGGACAAAGTAAGGAAGCATACAAGGAAAATAGGAACTGATGTAATTCAAAAAATGATTCATAAAACTTCTGTTTGTTCAACAGGTTCAACTTTCTCCCCACTAAACTTTGAACTGTAAACTGGCAATAAGTTGTCAAAATGACTATTTGTCTAAAAAAGCATACCAAAAGTAGGAAAGGAAATTTTGAATTCTGAGATTAATAGTCATAATCTCACATTCTATGCTTGAACTATATTCACATCAAACACCAATTGCAACCTTCGGTTTTAAAATCACCGTCACGTACAGCGGGGGAATAGACCGACTGCAGCCCCTGGGCTCCTTACCACATTCAGCCGTGATGGAGGCCAACCCTCCGTACACAAAGGGCTTCCAATTGAGGGCCGACATGCTCACTCCTGTCCCTTCTCCTCTGACTCACAGAACAGCCTCCAGCAGGATCTTTCCTGGGAACAAATGGAAGATGTTTCAAAGTTGGAATTTCTCACATAGGCAGTTTCTTCTTTAAACTCGTGTTTGATTTGGAGAGTGCTTTCAGATGTTATCACTGAAACTCCTGCAACAATTCCCAACGAGTCTGTGATAGGAAGCATACAAGGAAATAAGGCAAAGCACCCCTATCTACAATACTAAACTCCAAATCAGCAACTACTATTCTCACTTTATCAGTTGCCTAATTCTCATTCAGGCCTTAAGTAACCTAGTATACTGATATCTTGAAATGTGTATATGTAGTCAGTGTAGTATAGTGGAGGCTATTTTCTGGGTGGTCTATTTTCTGTTCTTCAGTATTTTCTATTTGTCACTGGCTTAGTGAGAACTCCCTCAGGTGCACTGGAGGAGAAAAAAGTGCTGCAGTTCACTGTCACAAGGTAAAATGACAATTACTTAAAAATTCCAAAACATACTTCTAGTTTATACTGTCAGCTCTATTCCCTTACCCTTAGTATGTAATAGATGGGAGGCAGCTTGGTGTGAAGGCAAAAGGCAGTCTGGGGTCAGAGCCTCACCATTTCCTTTCAAGGAAAGTTCCTGTTAACCTCTGTTTTTTCTTCAGTATCATCATCATCATCACAGCAGCCTATTAGGGGTAGAGCCCATACTTTTATTCTCTAAGATAAGTAAATATCTAGCTTTCAGACCTATTGTGGGGATTAACATAAAAAAAGAAAGAAAGCAAGCACAAAAGATACTAAACAAACACTGACTTCCATCCTCCTTTCCTGTAATAGGTCCTGGTGCTCTGAGACATATATTCACATGCCTGTCACATTCATTATATGTTCTGTAGTTTTATACAATGAAGTTGGTAAATATGGCCTCATGTCTATTAACCAGAAATACTTGCCAGTTAACACACTTCTGTGTATATACTATTGAAAATCATTGTCTTAGAAATTTCCCAAGTTCACATTTCCCAGGAGAAGCCTACCATTAGTCACTATTGACAAGATTGTCAGTTCTCAACAAAGTCAAGTAGCTTCCTTAAACTAAAAGAAAACACAAGGAACCCAAAGGGGATGCTAAATAGATCTACCAATAGATATTAAGCAAATTCAGAATAGTTACATTAAGCAAATTCAGAATGGCTACAAATGAATTAGGCAGACGGCTTCCTATGCATGGAACTAGAAAAGCATCATATGCTTTATGTATTTCAGTACTAAGAACAAGCCACATCCTTGAAAGTTCATCTCCCTATTATCCTTGAAAACATTTAATAATATCTGTAATTAGCCTTAATAAATTGATAACTAATATAATGATTAACATTGTAAGTTATAAACTGTCCAATAATTCATTTACTATCCAGTAGTACCTTCCTTAACCCATTGTTGGATTTTGCTGACTCCAAGTTAAAAAACAAATGATAACAACAGGCCCTGGCCAGGTAGCTCAGTTGATTACAGGTTGTCCTGATATTCCAAAATTGTGGGTTCAATCCTCTATCAGGACACATACAAAAAACAACCAATGAATATATAAATAAGTGGAATAACCAATTGATGTTTCTCTCTCAAAAATCAATTAAAAATTATCTTGCCTAATAACAGACAAACATGTAAATTGACCGTACCTTCACTACGCCACCAGCCAATCAGGAGTAGATATGCAAATTAACCCAACAAAGAAGACAGTTCATTTGTGTACACAGACACCAAATGACGGGGGCATTCTGCCCCTCCCCCGGTCTCTCAAGGCCTCTGGGCAGCATGGGAAGGCAGGGCCAGAGCAGAAAGAAACAGCTCCAGGGCTGAGTGGAAAGGAGCAGGGCCGGAGTGGAAAGGCCAAAGGAAAGGCCATTGTAGCATGAATCTTCATGCATTGGGCTTCTAGTAACTCCATAACAATGACATATGGAAGTTCAGTATAAATTTCAGTGAAATTTTGGGATAGGAGGACCAAAAAAGAGATCAGGAAGGCAAGTCTCAGCTGACGGGGACAGAGCTGGGCTTCCCATTCCAAGACTTTTGCTTCCAAGTGCAGGATTCTTACTGCTGCCACCTTAGGCTGTATACAATCATAAAAAAGTGGTGGCATTTTAATTAAGGAGAAAATATTACTAGGCTTCAAAAGGTACTACTGATAAGATGCATCTTATAAACACAAATGCCCTTAATTTAAGAGAAATGCCTAAAAAAAATACAATAGACAGAAGGTAATCAATCTAAACAGGGATAATTTATTTTCTAACACAACAACAAAGATAGTGTTCATATGATTCTTTTTTTCAGGGTACTTTTCCTGAGGTGAAAGCCACATACTATAAAATAAACCACCTTTGCAAACACTTCAATGGAACTTATTCAAAATGTTGTGCAACCACTACCTTTATCCAGTTCCAAAAAATTTCATCACTCCACAAGATAACTATTGAGCAGTTGCTCCCCATTATCCCCTTCCCTAACCTCCATAAGATTATTTTCTTAGCGTGATACTGCATACACATCAAGGATCTGTGTGGAGCAGAGGATTCCTTGTCAGTAGTTCCTAACCTGGTTTCAATGCTTCTTAAAAATACAGACACCAGAACCCCATCAACAGAATGAGGATCTCAGAAACATCCCAAGCATCTGTATTGTTACTGAAAATCAGTGGGTTAAATTATTATGGCCAATCCAGATGCTGGAATACTTATCACTTAAATTCCTATTTTAAGTATTTAATCCTCGAAGATAACAATACAGTTTATTCTCTTTTTATATCCTATCCTATATTTTAAAAACCTAATATGCTAAGTGTCCGGATGTCCATTCAACCAATCAAAGCATAATATGCTAATGATAGAGCATATTATCATGATTGATCTTAGACTCTACAGCAGCAGTTGAATGCTATGGCCATTCAACCACTCACTATGATGTGCACTGACCACCAGGGGGCAGAGAGTCGACCGGTCAACCAGTTGCTATGACCTGCATTGACCACCAGGGGCAGATGCTCCAACAAGTAGGTTAGCTTGCTGCTGGGGTCCAGCCAATTGGGACTGAGCGAGACAGGCCAGATGCCTTGGAGCTCTACTGCGGTCCTTCCCCGGCCCTGATTGTGCACTAGTGGGGTCCCTCAGCCTGGCCTGTGCCCTCTCACAACCCAACACCCCTTGGAGGATGTCAGAGAGCCAGTTTCGGCCTGCTCCCACAGGCATAAAAGGCTAATATGCAAATCGACCAAATGGCAGAACAACCAGTCACTATGACATGCACTGACCACCAGGGGGCAGGCACTCAATGCAGGAGCTGACCCCGGTGGTCAGTACGCTCCCACATGGGGAGCACCACTTAGTCAGAAGCCAGGGTCATGACTGGCGAGAGCTGCGGCAGTGGCGGGAGCCTCTCCAGCCTCCACACAAGTGCTAAGGATGTTCGACTGAGGCTCCCGGAATGCGAAGGGTGCAGGCCAGGCTGAGGGACCCCCCGAGTGCACAAATGTTGTGCACCGAGCCTCTAGTGTGTGTGTGTGTGTGTGTGTGTGTATGTGTGTATATATATATTTTTTTTATTGATTTCAGAGAGGGAGAAGGAGGGGAAGGGGAAAAGGGGGAGAGGAGAGGGAATAGGGAGGGAGAGAAAGAAGGGGGGAGGGGGAGGGCATAATTTATTATGAGAATCATTGACAGGCCCCTAATAGGGATTGAGCCTGCAACCTGAGCATGTGCCCTTGACCAAAAACAAACACGGGACCCTTCGGTCAGCAGGCTGATGCTGAGCCAAATTGGGTATAATTAGTTCATTATTTTTATTCATCTTATTAACAATTTTTTCTACAATGAACATAGTATGTGTGACTATGCCATTTATACAGACATAAACACACACACACACACACATATATATATAAAAGATATCTTCTAAAATATCACCAAAAACGTATGGGAAATGGGATTATACTAACTTCTAACTTAACCTTTAAAAACATTTTTAAAGGTGACTTTGTCCTATGACCTCATGCCATCTACCTGATTAATTTCCTCATTTCCCGCCACTACATTTTGTTTTGCTAGTTTAGTTTTAATGAGATTTGGCTTCTGTTGGTTTTTATATTAAGTTTTAGTTAGATTACAACCCAGAGTTTCTGAGTTATTCTCATCTGTAAATACTCAATTAGAGCTCAAATTATTGTGGACCTGCCTCCCCATGTTTTTAAATCACCTGGGATGGTGCACCCACCCATTAGCTCCTATTCAGATGTATCACCACAAACGATGTCCACTCCTGCATCCCCAGCTAAAATTAAGAAAATATTTCCCGTTCAATTAGTTTTTAAAAATTAACTAGGAAGGGGGAAAACCTTTGGGGTTCTCCTTTCCTTTCTGAATGCTAAGACAGACTAGATCCATGAGCAGTTAAGACTACTGTGCTTTCCCAAGTTAATGTTTGTTAAGAAGAATGTGGCTTAAATAACAACCAGAGAACATCTGTAGTTAGTCAAACACCCAAACAAGAAAAGGTTCTAGCAAAGACCGGAATATTTAATAAACTCTACTAACCACAGCCAGCTGCAACAGGGCTTATCTTAGGCTGAAATCTCTGCTCAGTAAACAAAACCAATTCTTTGTCTTTGAGTTCTCTTTGGAGGGTTTCTTCCTCACACATATGTCTGAACTTCCTAGCATAACTGTTGGGGAAAATCACAATCCTACCCAAGTGCCATGACTGACAGGCCAACACAATCAGAGAGAATGAAGTGTCCTTGGCAATCACTAGTGTTTGGGCGCATCTCAGCCTGAGATTCAGGGAAGGGATTACAACTTGGTGAAAATTCCAGTGTCAGGTACAGATAGAGGTCACTGTCGGTCCCTTTCCCCTTTGCATTTCTCTTTAGGTCCAGCCAGTAGCCAGAGTTATCTGCCAGAGACCACTTCTCTTTACTGCCTTCTGAACACAATATTAATAACAATAGGTGCCATTGACTATTTGATATGTCAGGCATTGCTGTACGTTTCCCACTTAAAGGATTTTATGTAATTATCATAACTGGATAAAACAGATATAATTAGCCACATTTCACAATTGAAATAGTCTCACGAGAGGAAACTTTCCCTAGTCACACAACTACGAATCCTCAAACTAAGGTCTCCAAAAGAATGCATAAGCTTTCTTCTATTTACTACAAAGCCAATGCTATTTTCCAAAGGCTGTTTAAAAATATTGGCCAGTGAGAGGGTAGGGAATTCTCAATATTCAGAATAAATATAATATTTTCTTGCAGGAGAAATACAAAACTCTCTATTTAAAAAAAAAAAAAAAAGGTGTTTCCTGGCTCTAGCTGGTTTGCACAGTGGATAGAGCTTCAGCCTGTGGACTAAAGAGTCCTTGGTTCGATTCCTGCCAAGGGCACATGCCCAGATGGAGGACTCGATCCCCAATAGGGAACTTGCAGGAGGCAGCGGATCAATGATTCATTCTCTCTTATCATTGATGTTTCTATTTCTCTCTCCCTCTCCCTTCCTCTCTAAAATAAAGAATATAAAATTCTTTTAAAAAGTGTTTCCTGAGTGCAAAAGTCTATACAAATTATGAATTCCAAAGGTTTCTCCCCACACTTAAGAAATATGCTGTTACATATCCTCTGAGTTATATTTTTTTCTTACTTAGCACTTACTTTTCTCCTCACCATATTGTACAGCTGTAAAGAGAGGTAATTAAATACAGTAATTGCTACTGGGACTTCTGAAAGCTTCCCAAGTTTCTCTAACATTATTAATTATGTATAAGTTTTTTTCTATTTTAGTGTTCCCTTTTCATTCTGCAGTCCTAAATTGTAATCACAGTCTTGAAAGTTTGGTGCGTTTATAAACCTTTATTCCCCATCTTGCATGAATTTTTCCTGTTTCCCATTCTTTTTAAGGGTATAGGATGAAAAATAAGCTCATCACAGACTTATAAATGTGAGATTTGAAAGGAATGTTAGAAACTATCTCATTTGACTTCGGGTGATGGGCACACAGTGCAATATACAGATCTTGTAACATAGACACCCACACCTGCAACCTATGTGTTTCAGGTCACCCCAATAAATAAAAAGAAAACTATATCTCATTTCACATGAGTTACCTGATCCCATGGCCACAAGACTTGGCAGCCACAAAGCAAAGACCACTTTTCTTTCCACTTTTCTCACTACTTAATGAGGATGGATCTAGAACGTGCTGGCAGTCGCAATAGTTTTGCTATTATTGCGCAGGAACAACAATACTGATCATTGCAACTGCTTTACGTTAAATTACTTCCACCTAGAAAGACGCCAAAATCCAGAACTACGTTAACCTCCCAAGCAAATTAATTAGGCTGGTCCTGGCGCACATAAGCCGCCTGGCTTGTCGCGGGGCAGCGCGCCCCTCCCCGGAGCGGAGGCCGCCGGCCGCCCGGCAGCGCACCCGAACGGGGCGCGAGTGGGAGGGACGCACGGGAGGCGTCACCCTGCGGACCGCACACCTGGACCTCGGGGCCGCACTGAAGTCACCCCACCGCCCAGAGACGAGGAGGGGAGCCGGCGCTCCGCACTCCGGGGCAGCCAGAGCAGCGGGCCCGACTCCCGAACCTCGCGCCCCACCGAACCTCGCGCCCCACCGAACCGGACCTGCACGCGCACCGCATGGCACAGACAGCGCCGGCTCCTGGAACCGCAGTCCCAGTCCCAGCCCCGGCCCCGAGCCCCAGCCGTCCGGAAGGGCAGCGCCGGCAGGTGCCTGGCGCCGCGGGACAAGGGCCGGGCGGGAGGGGGGGGAGACCAAGCACGCGCTGCGGCCAGGAACTCACCGGCGGCGGAGGCCCTGAGCACCAGCCTCCCCTGGCCTCACCGGGTGGCAGGAGCCGGCGGCTGCCCGGAAGCTGGAGGGAATGCGCTGAGCACAGGGGCCGGCCCAGAAGCCCGCGCGCAGCCTCCAGGCCCCGCCCACAGCCCCCCTCTTGGTTCCCATTGGCCGCTCTGGACAGTGCCCCGCCCAGCCCCGCCCACCGGATCCAGCCCTGGCTGCAGGGCGCCGCAACGTCGGTGGTGAGAATTGCGTGCGCGGCCAGACTGGGGCGCCTCCTGCACCCTCTGATCTCCGCTAGCATGGAAAGAGGAACTTGGGGGATGTGGGGAGAGCCGGAAAAGGAGCCTTCTGGAGTGCTGATTCTTTCTGTCCGCTGAACCTCCCAATCGAAAGTAGTAAACTTGCACTTTTTCTTTTTTTTTTGCCATCTGGTTTCTCCAGATCGCATAAATCTTTCGCTTTTTTTTATTAATTAGTTTTGAAATATGGTGGAAATCATACTTGGGTAAAAACTGCTGTTTGAATTTTAATCTTGCTATCTGACTTCGACCTTCGATTACTTGCTTGAACAATAGGGTAGTTGCAGGAGATTGACTCCCACTGACTCAGTAGCTTCAGGGGTAGAAACTGTAGATAACCTTTAGTTCTGCTTTTGTATTATGGGCAAAATAGGGCCACATTCCAATGTCAAGCAGGGTGTGACTGGGAACTAACCCTGCTGGCTGTCCCCAGTCTTTAGAATTTAGTACTGAGGGGTCAATCAGGGTTAGCTGAGGCAGTGACATCACCGACCTGAGTAAAACCCCTGGACTGGGCGAAATTCGCTCTCTTCCGCCATGCTGCCGGCATGAGTGGGACAGCCCATGCTAGCATGGAGATGGCTCTTTTGTTTACTGCATCGGACTCGGCTCCCTGGTGGTCCTTGGGGATCATGACTGGAATCCCCAGCCAGGACCATGAGGGACCCCCCCATTTCGAAGAGCCTGACTGGCCGCGGTAGGTGTGTGTTTGTCTGTGTTTTTGTGTGAGCGCTCTGGAGGGACTGCCCCTCCATCAGGGCTCTTACCTGGGTGTTTACCGGCTGCTGCATCAGCCATGGTTTGAGTCCAGATTCAAATCTGTAATAAATTCTAGCATGCTTAATCAAATTGGCTCCGGTGGTCCATCTCTTGGGGACTCGCTTTGTAACAAGTTTCAGATGGTTAGACATGTATATAACTTATGAAATGACCCCCCTCCCATACGTCTAGTATCCACCTGACACAGGGCAGTTATTACCATATTGTTCACTATAGTCCTTATGCTATTCTTTACATTCTCGTAAATATTTTTTAACTACCAATCTGTACTTTTTAAAATCTTTATTGTTGAAGATATTCCACATGTCCCCGCATTGCCCCCCTCCACCTAGTTCCCACCCCACACCAGGCATTCACACCCTATGGTCTGTGTCCATAGGTGATGTTAATCTTTTCCTGCAACCCCCTCCACCCTTCCCTCTGAGATTCCTCAGTCTGTTCCATGTTTCCATACTTCTGATTCCATTTTAGTTATCAGTTTATTTTTTTCATTAGATTTCTTGTTCTTTACTTTTATTTTTATTTTTGAAATATATTTTATTGATTTTTTACAGAGAGATAGGGTGAGGGAGAGAAAGTCACCCTGGAGTTCCATCCACTTCCAGACAGTCCAATCTCCCCATATGAGTCTGGGTCCCCAGAGTCTCACCCGGAAATGGAGTTCAGAGCAGCCAGGAGCTTTTGCCTCCCTCCTGATTGAGAAAGTCAGCCGTGTCAGTTGCCAGCCTTCTCTGCGCACGCCTCAGTACCTCTGCCTTCCACAGCTCCTGTGAGTCTCAGTGTGCTTTTCTCTTTCCTTCTAGTTGTAGAATTTCCACTCAGCCAGCCTTCCTGTGGTTCTGGATGATGTCCGTTTTGTCTTTTAGTTGTAGTTTTAAAATTGTTGTGTGAGGCAGCAGTTCAAGTGTTTACTTATGCTGCCATCTTGGTTTCTCTTCAAATTACAAAATTTTTATTAGGACTTTTCTTATATACCGTTATATTGTCTGGGCTGCATGCAGCCCATGGGCCGTGAATTTGACATGTTTGCTTTACACTATCTTCATATTTCTGGATTATTTTTTTTCTTTCTGTTTTCCTGAATGGGTATTTTTTGCTTCCTCATATTCCAATTGTTGATTTGATTCTTGGACTCCTCTACTGTACTATTGAATCCCTGTAAATTATTCTCTATTTCAGGTAGTGCATGGTTAATTTATTCTTTTTCTTTTAAATTTTATTTTATTGTTTAAAGTATTACAAATAGTAGTACATATGTCTCCCTTTTTTCCCCACTGACCTTCCCCCAGCACATGCCCTCCCTTCCCCCGGTGCATGGTTAATTTATAACTGGTCCTTTTTCATGTCTTTGACATTCTCATTAAGATTCTTGAAAGTCTCACTAAGTCCCTTGAAGCTTTTATTCAGATCCTTGAGTAATCTTATAACCATTATTTTGAACTCTATATCCAGTAGAAGTTTACTTGCTTCCAGTTCTTTCATTTGTGACATATTTCTTTGTCAACACATTTTTGTTGTTTTCCTGTGTTTGTTTCTACGTATTAGGTAGAATTGCTATGTGTACTGGGATTGGTAAAGTAGCCTTGTGTAGTAGGTATCCTGTAGGCCCAGTAGCTCAACCTCCCTAGTCACCTGAGCAGGACACTCTAGGTGTGCCCCTGTGTGGGCTGTGTGCACAGTCTTGTAGTTGAGCCTTGATTGCTGTTGGCATCACTGGGAGGAGTTGACCTCCAGCCAACTGGCTGTGAGAACCAGCTGTGACTGCAGTGGAAGAGCTGCTGTACAGGAGATGCCCCTATGGAGCAGGACTTGCTTCTTGGGGCTTTGGTGCTGACTGAGTCTGTCCCTTGAGTGTGTCATTTTTGAATGTATAGAGTTATAATCTGACATGGTCTGAAGCTGCCCACCAGATTCACTGGCTCAGGGGCCTCATGGGAGGTGCAAAGTCAGCCACTACGTAGGGCCACATGGAAGGAGCTATTCAGAGATCTGCAGATAGCTGCTACTTGTATTGGGCTAGGAAGTGCCCATTGCAAAGCCCAGCTGTGAAGCAAGGCAGGCTGGTGCTAGTGTCAAGTCTTAGGCCCTGTATTAATATGTTTGGGGCACGCTGATGCCAGCTATTGCTTGTTTGAGAGATTAAGCAAAGTCTGAGACCTGAGCCAGGACAGGTCATTCACATGGAAAAGTTGCTGCAAACAGCTTGAGTAGGACTGCAAATTGGATGGGGTGGAATCAACAGGATGGAGTGAACAATGTGGGCCAGATTTATGGAGACTCATATATGGCTGCCAGTCAGCTCTGTAATGGGGGGGTGGGGGAGGGTGCGGGTCCCAGCACAGGAACAATAACCCCTATGAGCACTTCCTCTCCCCCGGGTCTGGGGAAAAGCTGATCCTGAGTTCTTGCATCAATGCCAGCCTATCCAGTTCCTCCCCATATGTCCCGGATCCCCCAGAGCCCCCACTCATCATTAGAGCTCTGAGGAAGCAGGACTATGTAAGTTTGTGTGCCAGCCCTTTAAGAGGAACTGCCTGTATCTCCAGCAGCCTCTGTGCGACTCAGCCACAATCCCCACGAGTTTCTAAAGCCCTATGTTACAAGGACTTCTCTTCCAAGCTCTGAGACCCTGGGCTGGGGGTCTGATGTGGGGCTTGGGACCCCTGCTTCTCACAAGCAGCCTTGGAGATATCCCTCCCAATTAAAAGACCACCACAGTCAGACCAGCCCATTCTGAGCCTCTGCTCCCTCCTACCAGTCTCCATGTACTTTCTTTTTGACTTCTCTATTTGTAGAACCTCCATCCAGCCAGGTTCTGAATGATGGCTGTTCTGTATTTTACTTATAATTTTGGTGTGGTTGTGAGAGGCTGTCAGTTTCAGCATTTACCTGCACCAACATCTCGGTTCTCCCCAATATGTACTCAGTCCCTTCACCTACTTCACCATCCTCTCTAATCCCCTCCCATCTAGCAACCTTCAGTTCTCTGTATCTATGAGTTTGTTTCTGTTTGTTTGCTCCTTTCTTTTGTTTTTTAGATGCCACATGTGTGGGGAAGCACGGGACTTGGTTGGAATGTCTATAACGAGGATTCTGTGAAAGGTCAGGGCCCGCTAGGGGGGCCTTGCTGAAGGCAGCAGCCCCTGCCTTGATTTTCACAAACAAGTCCAGTCCCCCAGGTGTTTTGTTAGAATCTCTATGTTTAGTCTTTAAGACCTGACCTTGTAGAAGCATGAACTTTCTCAAAGATGCTTACCCTGCTGATTGTATTTAGAGGTTAATTTTAGTTCAAGCTGTTGTGGCAATAAAAAGCTAACAAGGCAGGCAATCATGCCTGTTTTTGGTTTCTTCAGCCAAACAAAGCCCTTTGTCTTCTCTTTCACAGAAACGTGTGTCAGAGTAATCCATTCATCCATTGTTCAGGGTCTGCTGGTCAGCCCCAGCACACATGTAAGTGAAATCATATGTATTTGTCTTTCTTTTTCTGACTTATTTCACTTAGCATAATACCATCCAGGTTCATCCATGTTGTCACCAATTGTAAACTTTCATTTATTTTTATGGCCCAGTAACATGCCATTGTGTATATGTACCATTTCTTTTTTATCCATTTGATATTGATGGACATTTAGGTTGTCTCCATATCTTGGCTTTTGTAAATAATGCTGCAAAGAGCATAGAGATGCATATATCCTTTGAAATTAAGTGGCTTTTTCCCTGACCAGTTTGGCTCAGTGGATAGAGCATCGGCCTGTGGACTGAAGGGTCCTGGGTTCGATTCCCATCAAGGGCATGTACCTGGGTTGTGAGGACATCCCCAGTAGGAGGTGTGCAGGAGGCAGCTGATCAATGTTTCTCTCTCATTGATGTTTCTAGCTCTCTATCTCTCTCCTTTCCTCTCTGTGAAAAATCAATAATTTTTTTTTTAAAAAAAGGAAAGTAACTTAAAAAAAAAAAAATATATATATATATATATATATATATATATATATATATATATATATATATATATTTTATTGAGTTTTTACAGAG